CCCCCCCCCCCCTCCTACCTCCACGGCACCCCGCTCAGTACAACGCAGTACAACGTACAAAAACCGTGCACACGTGCTCGCGCACTCGCGTCGCACCCTCGCGGTTACCAACCGCCCTTGGGCATACAGCTGTTACGGTACCCGAAGGGGCTACGGGACGAGGAAGGTTTGGGTAGATCACAAACCAATTCCCATCGCTTACGCTGGCGGCAGGGAAACAGCATTTTGTCAGCTGGGCAAACGCCGACTCGGCCAAGCAAACGCCCTTTTTGAGACAGACCCGGGCAGGCGGAGATGGCGCGGCGCAGCGTGACGATCGTTGCCTCGGACGGAAGGCGAGAAGGGATATCCTGGTGAGATCCCCTGCCCTCAGAGGTTTCGGTGTTCCACCGCACGGCAGCCGTTGTAGCAGCCGTTGTAGCAGCCGTTGTGTCTTGTTACGCTGCCTGCTGCGGTGCGACAACGTAGGGGCGAAAACAAGTATCTCCCCATGTTGTTCCATGAATGTCCATCAGCAGTACACGGCAGGAATCGACGAAAGATAGCCTCTCAGGATAGGCGATACATCTGTATGCTGTGTTGCGGCCGCGGCGGGGTTGCGGTCCATCTCAATCCCCCGGATACTGCTGTTTTTTGCTCAACATTGTGTCTCGGGCAACGCGCACGCAACTCGCCGATCCACTCCCATCTCGAGCCTGCAAGCCTGTGGCTGAACCAACGATACAATTAGGTGGTCGTGCGGTTGTACACGAACCGCACGCGTGCTCGTAACCTGCGGCAGAAGCATGTCCGTTTGGGTGAGAGGTCCAAAGAGAAAAGAAGCTTGCCCTCAAGACGGTTCTTGCTTTTAGAGAGCAGATTGGCGACCGACGCAGCACGTTGTAGCGCTTTCACAGGGCCCCAACGATCACATACCCCACACCGCAGCTTACCGCTGGGTTGCATTAGACGTCACACCCCCTGGACCGATTTTCAAAATTCGATCACTCGGCCAGAGAAAACAGCGACGGTGCCAGAAATGGCGGCGTTGAAACTGTCTCATCGAGAGAGTTCCCGAATGAATCATTTGATTTCGGCATCCTCTTCGTCGTGGGACAATATTGTAGAGGTTTTGTAGTCGATCCGGGGCAAGCGGTATCTTTGGATCGGGTGCCGTGTACCCCGCAACCGTATGTCACCCCGCGCCACCAGCGTTGGGGTTGCGACATAGCAATAGCTCCCTTTTCTACCTTCCCTCGCAACCCGGCCGACGCCGCTGACGAAAAACAGGTACGACGGGGCGACAGAAGCGGCGGTGTTGCGCTGTGCCCTCCTGGCCCTTGGCCTCCCGCTAAAGAGCGCCGCGCACCTGCTCCGGCAGTCCGGGGACATCGTCGACCTTGGCACCCCGATCACGGACGGCGCCACCCTTCACCTCGACACCGTCCGCGAGCTGGCGCTGCCGTCACAAGAGGCCGCAGGCGATGTCTACGCCAGCGGCGGCCACGACCACGGCGAGAGTAGCAGCAGCACCGCCCAGCGGCGTGTGAATAGCTCGAACACAGCGGTCGGCGGCGGCGGCGGCGGCGGCGAAGGGGGACTCGCAACAACCCGGTGTGGTGGATCGGTCTCGGTAACGGTCTCTGGCGGCGGCGGGGACTGCCGGCAGCGGCCGTCGACGTCCGAATCGTCGCTGGCGAAGCGGAGGGCGCTGCGGACAATCCGGCGATTTTTTGGGGTAGAGGGAGGGGGCGGGGGGGGGGGGNGGGGGGGGGGGGGGGGGGGGGGGGGGGGGGGGGGGGGGGGGGGGGGGGGGGGGGGGGGGGGGGGGGCATGCTGAGCAGGTTCTTGGAGCGGGGTGACTCGGACGAAGAGCTGGAGCGGCGGCCGCTGCTCCGGACCGGCCGCGTGCCCTCGTCGACGTCCTTGCTGTCGTCGTCGTCTTCGTCCTCCTCGATGTCGTCGCTGTTTCCGCGAGGCAAGTCTCGCGAGAACGGCGGCGGTGGCGGTGGCCGGAGAGGAGAAACAGACGAGGACGACCCCGAGCAGCAGCGCTTGGCAATCCTGAAGCTCAAGAGGATCAACGCCCACCTCGCCAACGAGAGGACGCTGCTGGCGTGGGTGCGGGCGGTGGGGAAGATGTTTACCGCCGGGGTGCTGTGCCTGTCCCTCGCGGGCGACGGCTACAGCCCAACCTACACGGTATGCTTCGTGGGCACGGGCATTGTCTACTTCGCCATGGGTCCGTACGTCGTGTTCGTCGGAGCCAAGAGGTGAAAAAACGAAAATCGTATACGTACATCCATGCATCATGCGTTTCTTCCCGTTCTGCCGGCGCTTAATGGTGTTCGCGTGCACGTAAAATAGCCCATCAACGAGCAACGTGCATGGTAGATTCGTGTCCGCCGGCCCGTTCAAGCGGTCCCTATCGGGGGGGGTGGGGGGCGGAGGGGGGTCTGGCCTGGCGTGTTGACGCTGCTATTTCTTGTCTTTTCCATCTGTGTACGGTACACAGTAAGAAAAGTGGGCTAAGAAGGGCCTGCTTCTTAATCCACATGTCGTTTTTTGTCACATGTCGCCGATAAACATTTTGCACCCAAGCAAGACGATTGCTATAGTAATGTTGCAGCCAGCTACGCCGGGTCCGAACCTATCCCCAGGCCGTACACCGCACCCTCGTGACGGAGTTAACATAGCAAAGGTTGGTTGCACGCGAACGCGCCAGGGCGGTCTTGCCCCCAAAGCTTGCCTCCCTCCGCACTGCGGTAGCGGAGCGCGCAACTGCTCAAAAATTGCCGCTTCGTGTTGCCCAACAATCAACCAAATAGAGCGAGTTTGATTTGTTGTGCCTTTTTTTTCTTTCTCCGTTTGGGTGCGTTTTATTGTTAGCATCTACCGCGCTAACCGACTGACCAATGACAATACGCCAGTCTCAGTGCGGTTTGAAAACAGAAAATGCTTCTAAAGGCTGTGATGATTGTGTGTGTGTGTGTCTTTCATGTTGTCTTCTCCCTTGTTTTTGTTTCACTTATCCTTGATGCAGGTTTCACCAGGCGGCGCAAGTGATGAACGGCAGCGTGTACGACACTTACTCGTTTTTCTCGGGGAGTCACCTGAGGGGGCTCACGTACCTCATGATGACGCTCGCCGTCGTGACGGTGGCACTCATGGCAACACAGCTCTCGGCAGATCTTAGTTAGCCTTGCCCGAAAAACCGTGGCTATTCGTTTGGTGGCATGCGCGAACCGAAAAAACAAAACACCAGAGTCCGCCGCAGCGCGCGTAGGGTTGCATTCTGTCAATCTCATGAGCTGAGGGATGGTAGACCGTAATGTTGGTGAACGTTGGTGAGTTTCTCGGCCGTAGGTAACCAACAAACCCTGTGGAGCCAGCGAGCTAGCGCATGACGGCGTGGGATGTAGTGGGTCAAATGCGGTGACCATCGGCACCGGTGTTGGTTGTAGTGCGTGCGTGCTTTCGAACGAACCCTGCTTTGAGTATTTTTACGAAAGACGGCTTAGGTGTCGTCAGTCTTTGTGGATGGAGGGAGGGAAGCTACGGAAGGCGTCCTACTTCATCCCATCCAGTTGCTCGGACGGCAACGTTTGATGAGTTTACTGCCCGTTTGACCTCGGCCGCAGGGCGTCACGGACCTTGGTAGCCCCGCATGAATGTGATTTCGTGTTGTTCGTCTCCTCTTTTGTTTTGTGTGTCCCGGTGCTTGAAGTGTTTTCGCCCCACCAAGGCAAAGGTGTTGCTGAAAAATTAAACGCATAACTTAGTTTTAGACGTGACAAAGAAATATCGCTGTGTTTACCTTCCTCCTGCGTGAACCGGGCTGGTGCGTGGAAAATATTTTTTCCAAACCCGAGAGAGAGTTATGTAGCACATAGTAGATGGGACGAAAATACACACACACACGCAGTGTTTTCATCCCGCTAGTGTACAAGACTCGTGTATGTTCGTTGGTCAACCGGTTAGCGCGGTCGATGCTGTGCTCGTTAACAAACGCACGATCTTTCTTTCACCCTCGGCAGTTGCCTCTCCTGCCTCATGGTTAGTCGAGGAGAGCCTGTCATCTCACTCTTCGATTGTGCCGACGAACACTTGACCAGTCTCTCAACCGCGAGTTGTTTTTCTGGCCACACGCCAGGGGGAGGAAAACCAGTGGTCATCGGTCACAGTTGGGCGCTACCATATATAGAATAAGGGGTCGTCGGTATCACGTGTGAACCAGAAACCCGTTGAATGGTCAAATGATTTAGATGCGGTACAGCATCGATGGGAGGGATATCATCCAACACAACCTTGCTCAAGTTTCGCTTGTTGATCAAGAGGAAATGGACCAAGTTTTACATTGGTGTGATAGCACGGCTCGCAACTGCAGCAAGCAAAGAGAGAGTACCCAACAGGGCGGGGCTACAACACCGCGAGTCTAATATCGTATACAGCACAAGCACACCACATCGACAGAGTTTTGGCATGAAGCGCAACTTTGTGGTCTGTTTCAAACATCAAATACCTTCGTCACGTTTTATTGGCCGCCCAGACGCAGGCCCGACCAGCTTCCTATTTACTAATCCGGTCGCTTAACAAATCACTGAGCCGCCGCCACGTGGTCTCGAGGCGGCTGCATGATGGCGCCCCTCCGAGCAACACAGCCTGCGACCCGCCTTTTTGGTGTTCCTCAAATCCAGTCACCGCCACCGCACGCCCCTGGCCACCCTTTTCTAGCTCTTACACACCTCCATCCTTTGTCAACGAGGGTATCAACGAGGGCTCCGTACAACAGTTTTCACCCCGAAAACATCGACTGCCGCGCCTGCTTTTGTCACCGCCGCCGACCTAGGCTTGGTCGGACCTACTCGGGTAAATCCCGATGGGACATCTCCTGCACTCTCTCCGCCAGCCGGTCCGCCGCTTCCTCTCCGTCCTCCCCCCCCTCCTCCCCGACCCTCTTGCCCGACGACAGCGCGCTGCCCGCGGCGTGCATCCCTGCCTGGACGCCCGCGTGCGTCGCGTGCGCCGCGGCCTCGACCGCCTTCTGCGCCTCCCAGGCGGCGTGGTCGAGACTGGCCCTCAGCCGGTCGAAGAACCTGGCGTCTCCGTACGACTGGTAGTCTACCGGGGCGGAGGAGGCAGGGGGCAGCGACAACGACGATCCTGCCGCCGCCCCCGCTGCTTGTTCTTGATGTTGCGACGGTCCGTCGAGATTGTCTTCCTTAGCTGCTGCTGCTGCTGCTGCTGCTGCTGCTGCTGCCTTGCCTTCTGCTTTCACCTCCCCCTCACCGCCTGTTCTCTCTCCCGTGATTGCTTGCGTCTCTTTCTCGGTACCCTTGACGCCCCTGGGCCCCTCTCCCCGCGATTCCCCGTCACCCCCACTATCGCCTTCGGACGATGAGGACCGTGGTTGGGGATCTGTCCCCGCCCACGATGACTGCTCCGCCATGGTTGGCAATCGTTGCTCCTGCACCGCACTCCCATCCGCGTGCCTCCCCCCGCCCCCGCCAGCGGCCGTCCCCTCATCGTCATCATAGCCCTCATCGTTGGAATCCTCTTCGTCCTCTCCGAATTGCCGCCTACTAGCGGCCTCCTTGAGAGCAGCCGCGGTATGCCTGCCCGCACCACCGTCACCGAACCCTCCTCCGCCAGGTATGTTGCTACTGCTGGTACTGCTGGAGTTGAACAGCCGTTTGCTTAACCTCCTTCTCCTCGAGTCGGTCGGCGTGTTGGTCTGTGGGCACTTTGCCTCCCCCTCCTCCTCCTCCTGCTGCTGCTGCTGTTGGTCCGGCAACATATTTTTCTTCTTCGGGCTGATCGGGCTGTTGGCTATGCTGCCGCCCAACTTCGACGCGTCGCCATCCCACACCTGAAGGAGAGAAATAAACCAAAAGAATCGCAAACCATTTCGGAAACAAACAAGCTCGAGAACGGGTGCTACTCAAGTGGGGGGAGCAAAGGTTGCGAAACTCACCAGTGTATCTTGTCCTGCGGTTTAAACCGTGCCTGGTACACGAAGGGCAACTTTTGTTAGCCCGCGCCAACAGAAGGTAAACATTGGTTGGGGCGGGGGGGAGGGTGTACTCATAGGGGAGTACTCATAGGGGTGTACTCATAGTCGTGCATGCCGTAGTCGTTAGACCATTGACCTCGCATCCCTAAGAAGCCGGGACTGAGCACGCCGGGTTCTCACCGGACCAGGCTCTCACATCACCAAGCGCGAAGCGCCGTGAGTTATTTCGTCGATTCGCATGAAGGGCGTGCTGCATCCTGCTAAGGGTGTTCGGCATCTTGTGCTTACTTCCTTGCGTACGGATGACAGCTGCGTATGAC